CCGCCCGGCTCCTCTCCCCAGGCCCGGCTTCTCGCGGCGCCCCGGCTCCCGCGCTGCTCTGCCGGGCTGCCCAGGCCTCTCCCCTGCCTTCCTGTCTGCGTTCCTGCAGCGGCCAAGCGCGCAGGTGAGTGTCTCCTTCTCTGGGTGGGGCTGGCGCCCGGCTTCTCCCAGCAAGGTTTGCTACCAGCGCTGGGGAGGATGGTGGGCACGGGGTACGGAAAGTTAAACAACAACAACAACAACAAGAAAGAAAGGAAAGAAAGAAAGAAAGAAAGAAAGAAAGAAAGAAAGGAAAGAAAGGAAAGAAAGGAAAGAAAGGAAAGAAAGGAAAGAAAGGAAAAAAGAAAAAGAGAAGAAACGGTCCGCAGACACCTGGGAGGGGTGGGCGCTCCTGTGACCCAGACCCTAGAGATGATGCCGCGTCCTTGCCTCCAGAGTCCTGCCTCTCTCGTGCCCAGGGTCTTCTCTGGCAGCTCTGGGGTATTATCTTGGAAAACAAAACCAAGAAAATTGTTCTCTCCTCCCCAGCAGTTTTCTCCTGACAGCTGATTGAAAAGCTGACAGGCCCAACCTGCTCCTAAAGGCAGGAAAGGTGCAATCGATAAAGCAAAGGCAGCCACAACAAGTTGAAAGCCCCTCTGTCTCTCTCGCTCCTCCTTCCTCGTGATGCGCGGATAATCATCGCATTACTTACTCACCAACTTCTTGAAACTTGTCTATCTGCTTCCATCTGCTGCCTGGACGGGTAGAGCAATGGTGCTGTGTTTTCAGGTTGCTTCGTTCCAGCTTCTGTGCAAAATCTGATCATCTCCTTCAGGGATTAGGAGTCTAGTGTAGAGAGCAGTTCAGATCCGTGTTTCAGATACAAACTAGGATTATTTGGAGTGATGTTTTAGTGTAGTGCTCAAAGCCAAAAATATTCGCTTTCCCTTATTAAAAAAAATTACTTAGCACACTACAGTTATTTGAACTTTTCATAGAACAGCATTTGATAAGAGAAGCAACTGACTTAATTGTAGCTGTAATTACCTATGATTTAAAATAATTTATTTTAAGACTATTTCATTAGTTTTGGTTCTATATATTAAATTATAGAAACACAATATTGAGACTGAAGATATAGATGTTTGTGCATCATGCAAATTTGTACCTTTTCGGTGGGGATTTTATATTGGTGTTTTAGAAATGCACTTCTGATGCAGGAAGACAATGAAGCCTGAAAACTGAGAGCACCTTCTTTAGCCATGTCATTAAATGTCAGCTTTACATTTTACCAATGGTTGGCAAACCATTCAGTTTCTCTCTTAGCTTGGGAAGAGATTTCAGTGCTTTTCAGGAAAACAAGATTTTTCTCACTATTGAATTGTAACATTTGTAAAGCTTTTAAACACGTGGATTTTAAGGGTTACAAATGAGAACAAATTTTGCATGCTGCTTGAGGATTTGTTGGTTGAAAGATTTAAATCAAATGTCATGAAATATAGCGTGATTTGGAAATCCATTAGGCTGAAGCTTGTAAAATAATAGAAGCTCTGAAGTTCAGTGTCATTTGTATCTATTTATTTATTTGTCTATTTATTTATTTGTTTGTTTTTAGGTGAGGCAACCCTTGGTTGACCTCCCAGATTACAAGGACCTTGTCAGTTTACAATCCCTTATTTTTTATTTTTTACGCCTACAACATCTGGTCTTCCTAGGTGGTCTCCCATCCAAGTACTGACCAGGCCCGACCCTGCTTAGCTTCTGAGATTAGACAGGATCAGGCTTGTTCAGGGTGGCATGGCTGTAGGCATTTGTTATTTAGACCCTTAAAAAAAACCACAGAAGGTGGAGGTCAGACAGTGGATCTCTACTTTCCCCCTAGAATGTACGAAGTTGTAGTGAGGGAAAGTGAATTATACATAGCAGAACAAATATCATTAGCCTTTTATATCTCTACTTCAATTCTTTAAAATCTGTTCTTTTCATATGTTCTGACTGTTGATTTTTGCTGTTTCTCTGTTCTCTCTCACGCTAACAAATATCACTATTCCTGGTGGAGCACAGACCCTCAGTGATTATAACAGGACCAATTCTAGATTACCTATGAAAAGAAGGCATAGGTCATTGAAACATATAAGACATAAAAATCTAATTTTCACCTATTTTACTTTACAGTCGCACCAAACATTTTTTTTAACCCCAGTTACTAAAAAAGTAGTAAAATTCTACCTATACACAGTGAACGGGGAGGAAGTAGAAGACAGGCTTGTGTGATAGCTGTTCAGAACCCCCACACTGACAATCCTGAGGGTTTTATTTTATTTTATTTTTTTTGAAGAAATTTAGTCTCAATTTAAAATTTAGAAGTTTTTAAAAAGAATTTAGTAGTTCAACAGCATCTGTGAATATTTCCCTTATTTTACATATGAGGGAACAAACAGAAAACAAAAAGCCAGATGACTTTTCCTAGGTTGTTCAGAAGGGCACTGCAGAGCTGGAAATGGAGCATTTGTTTGTTTCATGTAGTTCAGTAGCACTTTGAACCCCTCCAAAATTAGTCAGTGCATCTAGCTGAAGTGTTTTAAATGTTTACCAAGTCGAGAAGCATACTATTTTGAAAAATTATTTTAAAAAAATCCTAGAGGAGGAGGAATTTACCTTTTTCTCATCCTAACTGAAAATACTGAAAATGCAAAGTCAAATCCACACGCTTGATGTTTTGGCTTGATGGATTCCTTTTGTCACAAGGCTTGTTATAGCTCAGCAGATGGTCATGCTACTTGGAGTTTTCCACTCATTTGATGTTTCCATGAAGAAACAATTTGCCAGAAGCCAGCCACAGCTACTATTGCACTGGAGATGATACTAAACCCTGATTAGCGCAGGCTTTTGCTTACAGAAGCTGGAGGATATTGGTGCAGCCCTTTCTGGTTATTGAACAAGTCAGTATTTCCCTTGGTTGGTAAACTGAGGGATAGCTTAGCCCTGTAATAGTAGGAGTTGGGGCAGAAGCAACAACTCCAGTAATAACAGCATAGAAACAATATACTTTTGTGGTTTTTTTACCTTCACCTTAATACAACCAAGCTATTTTTTAAGTACCAGCTGAGCTACCCTATGATTTCTTTATGCAAGTGCTAGGATTGTCATTTCCACTGGCTGACTTTGATCCTATCTCTCTTTCTATTCAAATCTAACTGCGTTTATAATGTCAGATAATGATGAAATGGTTGACAATGTTGACTTAAGCTATATCCAGAAAATCTCATGGCTTGCCTTTAGCAAGAGAACCATCATCTGAAAGATAATGCCTCCAATACTGTGTGCACTGAATTCCAACATAAAATTCTGTGAGGGCCATAAAATAGGCACCATGGCCTTTTTCATCTAGTTCTCCGTTTTTATATCTTTAAATGGTGTCATACAGGAGCCATATTACTTCTGCCAGTGGTTGCCTGGAGCTGGTTTCATTGATAGGTCTGTGAGTGAAGTTTTCTTGAAATGATAGAAAGTGTTAGTTTTATTTTTGTAGCCATTTTGTTGCTTGGAACTAGATCATTTGGGTATGTATTTTTCTCACTGTTTTAATATCAGTTGCACTCAATGGTTCTGATGTTTTGGGGGTTCTTTTCAACCCAGCAATGCATTGACATAGATTGTGCCTATGTAAAAATAATTATTGAGCATTAACTATATGCAAAACATTATTCTAACCACTTAGCATATATTCTCTCGTTTAATCTTTCTAATATCCAAAGATGATTATTACTATTCCCATTTTGTAGTTGAGGAAACAAAAGGAAGGCAAAGTAATTTACCTAACATAGAGTACTGGGGAAGCCAGAGTGTAAATCTAGAAAAGTCTGATTATGGAGCTTGATACAGGTCTGATGGGATATACTTCAAAGACTGTTCACACTTGTTTGCAATTACTCTGGTATTTCATTAATCTATCCTTTTATTTTCATTTTTATATATTTTTTTTACGCCTACAGCACCCAGTCTTCCTAGGTGGTCTCCCATCCAAGTACTAACCAGGCCCAACCCTGCTTAGCTTCCAAGATCAGACAGGATCGGATGTGTTCAGGGTGGCATGGCCGTAGACTCAATCCGTTATTTTAAAGTGTATCAAATATACAGTGATGTATACATGAAGAAAATGTAGCAACACTGTAAAGATTATTGAACTATCTTGGGACAAAAGGCAAATAATTTAACAATAACCTAAAAAAATTGAAGAGAAAGTAGCTATAAAGGACATTATTGGGATAACTGACAAAATTTGAATATAGACCTGATTTAGATAGTAGTATTATATCAATGTTAAATTTCCTAGTTTTGATAATTGTACTGTGGGTTATATTAGAAAACGATTTTATTTTTACACACCGAAGTATTTAGGTGTAAAGGAGGCAGGTACACTCATCTGACCATGGTTCAGGGGAAAAAGTATATGAATAAAAAATAGAATGATTTTTAAAATGGGCAAAAATGTAAGTAATTGGTAAGTCCGGGTAAAGAATATCTAGGAATTCCTTGTGCTATTCTTACAATTTTCTGTTTGAAATTATATCTCCTCCCAAATGAAGGTAGAAAACAGGAAATGGAGGTGTAACAGTTTAAGAATTTTTTTTTTAAACCCAGGTGAAGGATTGTTTCCTGTGTTCTGATTTTTTTTTTTTCTTTTTTTCTTTTTAGGGGTTGGGGGAAGGAACTTGAAACAAACAAAAAGTCTTATATAAAATAGCTTGACTTTCTCAGATTTCAAAATCTAGCCATTCAGAAGTCCTCAACTCTCCAGCCTCCAAAAAATAGGGCACAGTATTTTCCTCACCTCTTTTTAATGGGGAGATTAAAAACATTAGTGCCTCTAAAAGATACAAAGATGATCCACTTCTAGTGAGACTGAAAGTTAAATTGGGTTGGTTATATTATTACCTTGCCTAAACAACCTGCAATGGCATGCTGAGGTTGACTGGTTTTTATGTCAGAACTCAAACCTTGTCTTCAAGGCAACCTGGCCCATACCTGTACCTTTCTAACTTCGTCTCATGCCACCCCCACCAAACACTATACACTTGGGCTATACCAGACCCCAAGATCTTTGTGCATGCTGATCTTCTTGTCTTCTTGCCTTTGTCCATGAACTAGTGGCTTTGCTTGGAATGCACCCTCCTTC